GTATGCACTCACTGGTAAGTGGATATTAGCCCAAAAGCTCGTCATACACAAGATACATTTTACAGATCATGTGAAGCACAAGAAGAAGGAAGACCAAAGTGTGGTTGCTTTGGTCCTTCTTAGAAAGGTGACCAAAATACTCAACGGGAGCAAATATGGAGACAAAGTTTGGAGCAGAGACTGAGGAAAGGCCATCTAGAGATTGCCCCACCTGGTGATCCATCGCATATACGGTCACCAAACCCTTCCATATATAATCACCAAACCCAGACAATATTGTAGATGCCAAGAAGTGCATGCTGACATGAGCCTGATATAGCTGTCTCCTGAGAGGCTCTGCTAGAGCTTGACAAATACACAGGCAGACACTTGCAGCCAACCCTGAGCCATCTCTTAAACTCTAAATTAAATATTTAAAAATTTAACATTGCTAAAGAAATGCCCCAATTAATTTAAAGAAAAAACTTTTAAGAAACTGATAACTAAAACCCACTTAGAGATATCTCTTTTGAAGCTGATTTTTAATAAAAACAAAACATCTCTTTAATTCCTTGCACCAAATCTTGTATCACGGAAGTGTCTTTGCTTTAAAATGAAATTTGGCTCAAGATTAAAAATGCATCTAGGTAGATGAATTTGCCATACAATATCAAGAACAAAACAGCCTAAATAGTGACCATGAGCTTTCAATAAATAGGACAATTAAAATGTACTCAATGTTATTTTAAACAGAGGGATTTTATGTATTGAAATAGTTACAAGAGTTAAGAGTTAGGAAAATACTAATAATAAAGTACAAGGTTAAAATACCCTATTTAAAAAAATAGCACAGTGTATGATCGGGGTGATTTTCCTCTACTACACTTGGATATTATTCTATGCATTAATGTGATTGCTAATAGAAAATATGTTCCTTGATATTTTACAGAATCTCATCCTAACTACATACGCTTAACCTTTCTCAGGGAACCTGTAGATCCTGGTTGCATCTTGGTCACTGAAGAATTTTACAATAGAAAAACATGTGCACAATGATCAAGGGCATGAAAACATGTCCCTTTGGCAGTGCCACTAAAGTCAAAATATACCTGAACGTGGTCGGTGTCTCCAAGGAAAAGCACCATGACCAGCATGTCCACTGAAAAAACAAGGGCATGTTTTCAAGTACTGTACCAGCATCATGCCCTCCATATGCTGCCCACATGAAGACACATATCAATCAGTTTAGATTTCCCTGATTGTTCAGGTATCTTGTTTCTTTTACATCTGCAGTGGCTTCTTCCACTGAAGAGTTGAACATTTCCATGGCATCTGTGAAGGCTGGGGTCATCCTTTTGTAAACTCTTGTTAATGTTGATATTTTGATCACTTTCCATAAATCTCCAGTGTTTTCAGCCGAGAATAACTGTTGATTGTGGTACATACTTACAAATGGAACACTTAAATCATAAGGCTCGGAAGTTCAAAAGACTCTGATGAATGGGCTGTAGAACTGTTGGGAACAAGCAAAAGAAACTTCTAGCAAAAGAAAGTTCTGTTAATTAGTTTCCAGACTCCATTTCATCTTTTTGTTTGTTTGTTTGGTTTTGTTTTTTGTTTATTTTTTGACTCCATTTAATCTTAAGGAAAAATTAAAATCAAGTTCCCAGGTCCTAGGGGAACTTGGGACTTCCCAATAGCCGAACAACTTCTGTTGTGAGGAAACAGTTGTTTAAGTTCAGGCATCACAGGAACACGTTGTAGGGAAAGTTGTTTGAGTCTAGACATCTCAAGGACAACTTCTCCATCTTGCTGACAATATCATGTTCCCAGGCCCAAGAACTTAATCCTAACCTGATTGATGGAAACTCCCTTAATTAACCTCTTATGTCAAAATATGGTTGGATAATTCTATAGCCTACTCTGTTCACCATCTTTTTAAGGTTCCATTCTTTAAATATGCTGTATTATGTCCCTTCAGGCTCATAGTTCAATGACCTAGTCTGAGCTGGGGTCCTGATCAGTCAGTAGCAGCTTCATTACAATAAAATTTTGTCATCTGCATTGATCTGGTGTTTGAGTTATGTTGGATTTGTATTGAATTTCAATGGACCCCACAAGAGAACAAATGTGATCAGTGGCTTAGAAACTGCAGTAATATTCTATTCTACCTCTATCAGATCTTTTGGGTGACAAAATGCACTGTTGGGGAAGCAGTGATATTTTAAAATGACTGTTTTGAAGCAATAGGTCTCAACATGGGCTTAAACTATACAGGGAGCCATATTGTAAGTAAGTATGCTGTCTTCCAAGCTTTGATGATGCTTTAGTGTAACTCTTAAGGATCCAGGATTTTCTAAATACTAAAGTAATAGTTGCTTCCACTTAAACTCACTAACCACACTGATTCCTAATAAGAAAGTCAATCTGTCCTTTGAAGTTTTGAAATCAGTGTTGACTTTTCCTTGCAAGTTGTACAAGTCCTAGGCAGTTTCCCTCTAAGGCTGTCCCATCCATATTGATCAGCTGTTGTTCCCAATAGCAACCTTCATTGACTGTTTCAGCTATATATTCTGTATCACTGTTATAGTTTCTACATTACGACCTGTTGCTTCCTCTGCTTCTTGATGGACTGGCATCCCTTATTACCAACCACAAGTCCAGAGAAAAGCTGAAATCACCTCATACCCCTTCACTCCTAAGCCTGACCTTGGTGCCACTTAATCAATGAGGGGCCATCTGGTGTTTCTGGAAAAATTGAATATCTTTACTTTGATGTCCTTTGTCACAGAATAATTTTTCTGTACAAAGGGTAAGATAATGAGGATAAATGAAACCAACTATCTATTCAGAATATCCTCTACCCATTCCACTCATAGAACAATATGTGAACCCTTCCTTTCACTGTCCTAATCTAAGGCTGGATCAGCCCACAAAGTACTGAGCTGACCAATTTTATACACATGGAGAGAAAAGTGGAGGGATTAGATGAAACCCCAAGAGAATAAAACCCTGAGTGAATGTATATTTTGACACGAGCACAGCCATGTGGTGGATTTCTCATGCCTTAGATCCATGAAAACATCTGCAAAGCCAGTACCCACATGCCCCAGGCTTTGGAGAAATGGAAAAGCTTTTCTTAGGAGTCCAATTATAATTGTTTATGAGCAAATGGTGTGTCCAAGACTGGCAACTAAAGCTTCCTCCTTCAGGATGTTTATAGACTGAGATGTTCTTCTACAGAGATCTCCAGCTGAGTGTACCCAACACCCAACCCTGTGCTATACCTAACAAATACATCAAGGTTCTGGGTTACAGAGTAGTGGTTAGAGAATTCCATATGATCCCAGCTTCTCTCTACATGTATCTGTGTGTCTGTTCTTTCTTCATTACTTTGATGTCCTTTAACAGATTTCCAGGACCAAGCCTTGTGGTTCCTGGCAGAAGAAAACTGATATTGGATTATGGAAAAAACAAAACAAACAAGGACAAAAAGCAAAACACTGTGGCACTATTCTCAGGCAGGAGTAATATCAAAGCCTCAGGCACAGACAAGGTCTAGGTAAGAACCAGGATCACCAGAAATCTTTCTGAGCACATTATTTAACTTTGTTGGAGGGGTAATACAGGTATATACACTCACTAAGATTCCTCTGCATACATAAAATGAAGCATTTATCATGTGTTAAACATATCCCATTCATGCTGCATTCAGTTAGTAGCGGTAAGTGTTCTAAACAGAGGGAACAATGCCAGGGTCACAGTGGAGCTCCCTAAGTGGAACAGAAGGAACAGAACATACTCTGGTATTCATCTTCATTTACCTACCTTCTCCTAAGTTTGTTTCTGGGTCCTCACACCTGCCAGGGTGAGATACCTACAATACTTCTTCCCTACTCCTCAGTGCTCTGTGTTTTTAGAAGAGGCAAGACCTGTTATGTCTCTAGGTCATTCTCTCTGCCTGGGGTTCTGGTTGAATAGCCTAGGGAGAACCTCTGTGTTTTAGGATTCAAAAGCCACCTTCCATGAGAGTCAGCAGTATCCATCTCCCTTTCATTGTCTTTCTCTCTCATTTACAGCTAACAGAGGATTTATAATTCCCTGAAGTTTATTCATTTTCCCCAGATTGTACTAATGCATGATCGTACTATATTGTGGTTTTCAGGACATATTCATGAGTTGTTAGAAATAGGGCCAGATTGAAGGCCTAGCTGCCCTAACAGTACAAACAAAGAATCCAAAGATTTAACACATGTCACGAAGGAACATAAGCTATCTGATAAGAATTATATCTATGTGGTGAGATAACATTTAATATGCTGTTATAAAAATATATTGAAAAAGTTTCATCTATTTCATATATTTTAATGTGTCTACTAGAAAATTTTAAACTAAATGTATGTTCATAGCATTTCTATACTGGGATGCATGCTGTAATGTCATATACAGGGCTCAGTCACTAAATCTGTTTCTAAGTTCTAGAGGTTCAAGCCCAGGGAGAAACTCTAGGAAGTTCATTTATTGACTGTCCTGATATACCAGTGAATCCTGTAAAGAAAATCTTTGTCCTTTATCCAGATAAAGGTTAATTCAGTGTATTTGGCAAAGATATTACCCCAGGAAAGGGCACTGGTTGTTTCTGGAACCTCTGAAATAACATCCTTGAACTGCAGATTTCCTGTTCTTGACATAATGGATACCCCTGACCTGCAAAGACCTTATGGAGCCGACCTGCATTTTCTCTTTTTCTTTTTAATAAAACTTGAGCTCAAGACTAAATGCTTTTCGGAATCAGAATAGTGACGACTCCCTTTGTAGAGACCAAGGTTATATGGACAGAGGAGCACTTAGTTGTAAGATCCATGGGGAAACAATGGAAGGAGAAGAACTAAGTGCTAATGGAAAGGAGAGAAAACAAGAGAAGGGGGCTAGGACTTATGAAAAAAGAGCCCAGAGGTGGAAGGAAAGGGTGAATCAGAGAAGTAGAGCAGTATGGAACAAAGACGATCTAGGGGTGGGGAAAAGTGGGGTGGAGAGAGGAGGACCTGGGCAGCTTGACTCTTCAGGTTAAAAAGCCACGAAACAGACCAGGCTCAGTCTAGATCATTTCTTCTCTGCTCCTCTACAGCTCCAATTCTAATCAACCATGGCCAGTTTGCTGAGCCCCTCACTGCCCCTGTTGGCTGCTCTGGCCCTGACACTGGCCCTGGCTGTGATCCCTGCAGCCAGTACTAATGCTGAAGCCGAGCAGGTGGCAGTAGGTGGAGTGGAGCCAGCTGACCCTAAGGATGAGGAGGTGCAGAAAGTGGTAAACTTTGCTGTTAAAACCTACAATGATATGAACAATGACCTGAACCTTAGCAAGTCAATACGAGTGATGAGCGCCAGCCAGCAGGTGGGTACCTGGCCCAGGGGATAGTTAGATGGCTTTGTACTTTAGAGGTTTTTCTGCTGTCCCCCAATACTCTTTTATTCTCCTATGCTAATTCAACCTCTGTGTGCCACCAAGGGGTGAATGTTTTCATTGCAGGCAGCACAAAAAAAAAATGGACCCCATAGACAACTCTTGCTGAATGATCTTTATATTATCTTTCCTTTAACATTTTAAAAAGAA